GCCCATAAAATCCGATAAACACCGTTTTCGTAGGAAAACATGCAGTTTCTAGAGATTAATGAGTGGGGCTACACAAGCTACTGTTGCCGAATCTTAGTTTAGATCCCAGATCAGCACATAAAAGCCCATCCTTCGGTAATACAGAACCAGGTGAAACAAAGAGTATACAGTCTGGGCAATACAAAGAAAAGGAGATATCAATTAAAAAAATAAGGTTTATAAAAGTGGAAAAAGCAGGAATAGTTATTTAAATGCCCTACTGTTTGTCAACAACAAAGTGTGCCATAATTCAAATGTACAAATATTGGGAAATGACTAAATTAAAAAAATAAATAAATAAAACTAAATTGGAGGTGTGGGCGGCGCCTCGCGCCGCGAACTATACTAATTTAATTCCAGAACAGAGAGGGAGAATACCTGCTTTATTTCAGATAAAAAATCCTAAATTTTCAGCAAAAAAGGCTCCATTCAGGGAGAGCAAAGGCCAGTAAGTTGGACCCCAGGTAAGTTGAAGTAGTCGGCCTCCTAAACATCAATTTTTTTAGGAATATCAAGAAACCCAATAAACTATAGAGTAGAAGTAAGTAACAAATGTCTAAATTTGTCACACCCAATGAACGTTAAGTAAATAATAAATAAAATTAAAGTTTTGTGTTTATTTATAGCGTTTTACCTTGTCGCGAAAACATATGATTACTCAAACAATTTCTGGGACCTAACCTCGGATCCCAACGACAATTTTATCGCCCTAATGGCTTCAATAATAAGCATTTGCTACTATCCTTTTCTTCGACTGGGGGAGTAAGGCGAGAGCGGCTTTCTTCGTTCAAGGCCTCAGTTGTGTCAGTTTGTTACAGTTTTCTGATATCAGAGCGTAGATAGTACTGCCAGCAAAGACAAGGGAGACTGGAATGGCCATTTCTGGCTCATTAGCCGTTGTTAACCCCAAGTGGTATCCCACCCGATGCTCGAACTCGCGACCTTGTCGATCAGGGCCTAACGCTCTAACAGTTGATCCACGAGCTCGTTGTCTTGCCGGTTTAGGTTGGAACATATGGACACTCGCTGATGAACGTCCACTGACCGCTAGCAGGAATTGCTTGTCCGGTTCTGCCTTGGTCCCATCTCTCGGTCTCTGACAGCAGCCAAAGCGGCCAATAATATAGGCAGGTAGTATGGCCGGCCCGATAAATGAAATCCAAGGTAGAGCGGTACAAGTGAGTTCCGTTGGCGGTTAGTGAACGTTTATCAGCGAGTGTCAATATCAGAGCGTCTTTAATGTGCCAAATTTAATGCAGGTGACAGGTGAAATAGAAATAACAGCCTACATAAAGAGCACGAAAGCCATCAAGCTTCTCAGTTTTAACAGCAACCGGTCGGTGGCTCACAAACGCGGCTGTGCTCGTTGCAGCACGTGAGGCGTGATTGCTCCCCTATCAATTTATGCGGAAAGACTAACCGAAGGCGTCCATTACCCGATGCTTGCGTGTTCGCCTTCGGAGGACAAAACCACTAACAGCACCTATGTTATGGCATGCGCGGTTGCGAACGCACTGCACACCGATCTCACTATACCATACACATCAAGTTAATGAGAATCAAGAACCGATTATACAACACTGAGCATTTGGGTGTAGTATATCGCATCCGGGGCATAACATTATCTTTGAACTACATAGGTCAACCTGAACGCATGCTTAAATCGCGCACACAAGAACATAGACTGGCTGTGCAACGGGGTGATGGAGTATTATGAAGGGATGTCCACAACTAATGAAATGGGTCGCCAGTTTAACTTTGCTGCCGCGACGATAATCGCCCACGCCAGAAGCAAGAAGGCTGCGAATTGATTTAAGCCTGCACCTCCGACGATAACTCAGTCAATCGATATATTGATCTAGCGCCGGCATGCAGAGCAAAACGCCGTTATCTCCAGCCTGGATCTACTGATGTTTGATTGGTTTCCGCACCCTACAACTGGTGCTTATTCCGTTGCCGCTTCAAGGTGCGACGATGGACTTCTGTACGACTTTAAAAGCTCGCATGAATAAGGAAGTGAGTCTGGCGAACGGACAGCCTTTTGCTTTCTTAACTATACATACGCCTGGAATAAAACCATGGGTTCAGTAGGTACATTTTCAAGTGTGTACTTCACTGTAGGCTGGAAGTAAGCATGGTGACTTACGCGTGGATTTTATTGTAGTGATAGTAGAGCTGCGCTACATCTACCGCATTCCCTCCTCCTCTACCTGAGTCTGGCGTCATGATATAGTCACGAAAACCGGAAATAGGAGCGGTCATAGGTAACTGACACGGGGATAACCGAAACTAAGCGCAACAGCACGCTCCCTAGTTCATGGCCTACACTTGGGCAGGATTTTGCACAACACTAAAGGGGGCAGTGGCTCACTCCGCACTCCATCCTATCCCTCTTCCACCTGAGGCTGGTATCATGACAGAGTCAAAAAGACCGGAGGTAGGAGAAAACCAAGGGGACTGACATTGAGAAATACGAAACTACGCGTACTCCGGCGTTACGAACACTTAACCAAGATTTTAACACGACAACTACATGCTATAGGCAGCGGCACGGATCCCAGCTCTCACGGCGTGGACGTGCGAGTCACTGCACCCCATCATACACCACCTGGTCACGGCCCACACACGGTCAGAATTATTTACAGTAAGAAAAAGGGGGGAGCGGTTCGGATCCTCGCATTATGGACATTGAGAAGAAGCAGATGTTATCGCTGGGACAAGAAATTTATTTGACTGACATTTCTAAATTCGTCGCGGATCCTTCATCAGAGGCAATAACAGAAACAGGTAATTAATACACAGGGAGTTGAGGTATTTATAGGAAACAGTTTCTATGCTATTGCATACTTATGCTAATTAATGGCTCTCCTCTATCGTGGACACTTGCTCGCTTGTGTACTGATTGCTTGATGGGCGGCGTGCGTGTCGTGCCCTGTTGAACTGTTATAATTCGTGCCGGACTTGAGCGTGATTATTGTTCATCCATTTGGGCCCCTTGCACAGGCACTAGAGGACGCGTCCGCCTATGCGTCCCCCGATATACGAGTCAGGTTTCATGGGCCCCAGTCTATAAACATGTTCAACGACCTGCCCAACCCATATCCAATGCTGAGGCTCAGTTTGGCAAGACCGAATTGCTGCTTGGGGAACGCCTATGATCTGCAGGCATGCCGCAATGCCGTAGAGAGTGTAGTAGCCACCTTCGAATTGAACCAAGTAGTCTCTGCCAAGCCAAAGAAAGAGACCTTAAGATGTAAGTGCAACGGCTCACCTTGTAAGCATCGGCAAAGGACATTCCTCCTACGGGTCGGCCTCGTCCGATATCTCCGAACGCAGTGCACTGTAAGCATGGCTAAACCGTCTCTCATAAAGCAAATGTCCACCACAATTATCATCACTGAAGACATTCTCAGCATCCTGTCCGTATTCACTTCCATTGCTTCCCCCAACAGTAATGTTGACGCGGTTCCGATCGGCCCCCATCGCAACCGCACACGTGAGTCATCCATCAGCCTGATCGCCCATTTGTGGATTCATTGCACTTCAACCGGTAAACCTATGCTTAAAGTCCCGACATACGACTGTCACACGCCTTTCCTGTCACACTGTCGCAGAACATTATTTAGAATTCGCATCTGTCAACGTCTTCAGTAAAAACGCAGGGACTCGATCGCATTCCAGCACCTCGTTTTGAATGCACAAATGACAGCCCGTTCGTCGTTACTAACTATATCCATCATGTTCCCCACAGCATGATGAGCGCAGAAACGGAGACTTGCGCTGATTTAATCTACAGTAATAGTAGCTTGGTGTAGCATCTACTGCACCCTTCCTTACGTACCCACCTGGGCCCGGGGTCATGATCAAGTCAAGAAGATCGTAGAACTTTTAAGACGCGGGTGGCTGGCACACCAGGAAACCGCGCCCAGGCTTGCCACCACCATGTGCGACAGTTGTTATGGGAGCATATAAGCGTTCCCAAATGTCGTACCTGTGGTCCGTTCTATATCACAATTAGTTAAACTTCCCCCTCCCCTGAGGTCCGCTTAACTAATCGCCTTTGATGGACACACCTTTTTGCTCATGCTAACAAGCCTGTCCCGCCGTCTTAGACACCCCGTGACGTTTCTTATCGGATCGATGTTTTTCGGCTGCACTTAAGAAAACATGAAACGAAAAATCGATAAGTCAGACGAAATGACGCAGGGCGTTAGTCAGTTAAGCATAACGCGCCCTGTCTGCAGCCGAGCAACAGTGAAATGGCCGCCCGAAGCAGCGTCGGTAATGTGCAATCGACCAATTTTATGAAGGATGGCTTTCAAAGGGAGGATGACTCTGCGCTGAAATTTTTTATCCAGCACAAAGACGAATTCCTATCAGATGAAGCATGTGGTCCAGACGCCATAAAAATGCGTCGTAAGTTGGCCAGAATAATAGCCGATCAGGAGCGATCGTATGCCTTGGCCAAAGAAGGTGAAGAGAGAATGCGCCGAGCGGTAGAGGAAAGCGCTAAAAGGGAAAAGGAAAGAAGGAAGAATTTATCCAGGAAATCTCCGGATTTGAGTGCTGTCAACATGCGACCGGTTTCTCCGAAGACAAGGGCTCTCCTCTATGATGGAGTTTCACATGAAGGAGAGGGCAGGTATGTGGTATGTTTACCTTTAACTACAGATGGTAAAAGCCATTTCCCCTGTACTCTTCTCGATAAAATAAATACAAACTGCGGAAAGCCGCACGTGATGTTAAATTGCATACAATCTACCATAATATTACCCAGTCATAGAAATTATAAAAGGACAGTTAGTTTAAAAATAGACGAATAAATGAATAGTAGCAAAACGCAAGATACGTTCGCTGTTAACATATAAACGAATCAGTCTCTGAAGAGTTACTCAGCTAGCGATCTGGTAATCGGATTTTTCTAATTTCTCTTTCGTAAACAATAAAGTTCTTCTTTTATTTGATTATATTCTAACGCCTGGTGCGAAAGAAAACCGATTTGAGAAACAACATAATTCGGACGTTCTTAAAGCGTATCGATAGGGTCTGATCGGACCAATATTACCGGTTTTCGTTGTAAAATTGACTGTTTAATCCTGAACGCCGTTAATGCCAATGCAGTCATTTCAACCAGAGGTGGTTAGAGACAGGTATACTTAAAGGGTCCTTCAGCCGACCTGTGCTAATCGGATACCGATGTTTGATAGTCAGTATTTTAGCATTAGACAATGACAAAACGCAGTAAACTTTTTCGTGAACCACACCAGCTTTTCGTGCTGTCTCACACCATTCTACGGTTACCTATGATTAAGGATTGTCAACAGAATCCAAACCGTAGCAGAAACGGTTCTTCTTCTTCTTCTTCTCAGAATCCAAACCGTCAGGAAAATAAAATTCTCGTTCCAGTGATCGTATCTTCTCTTTCTGAAGGCGTTATTCACGAACTTCAATTTTCCCTAAATAGAGCACTCTACCTGAATACAAGATATGAAAAGGCTCCAGAAGATAAGTTCCCTATGAAGTATCCTACCTCGTGGGACCTTGGTTGGCATTTTCGCGATAGCATTCAAACAGATGAAGTGAGAAGTTCAAGGTTTGCACGCCGTTCCATTATTGAAACCACCTTCTTCACGCGTACTGGTGTGCCAAAGGCCGAAACGTACGATACCAGCAGCCGAGTTTGGTACCGATGATCGCGATCAGAGAACTCAGGAGAGGGCGAGACTGCAGCTGGGACGATAAGAAAATTCAACAACCCTGGGAAGCCCTTGAAACGGACGAAGGTTTTGGACTCCTTGTCGGTCGAAGAACGTGTTTCTTTCGAAAGCAGGGGAAAGTGTTAGGGAAGAGACTTTCCACCGCTGAATTACTGCATGTTACTGTAGAATTACGGCATGTAAAATAAGTAAACATATATGTATGCATACTACTTGCCTTTACGTTGCCTGTTCGCACTTGGGGCCTTGATTTGCACGTGGCAGAAAAGACATGTGTCTGCCTTTTACAACTCTAGCCCTACACACCTGCAAACAACTTCAACCAAAAGACCACTGATTCGTGAATTGCCTATAATATCCAGCCTAGAAACGATAACAGGAAACTCCTCTATTCAGCAAGTTATGAATAGTTGCATGTCCATACGTAAAAGGAAGTCAGTGTTCAAGTGGCTGAATAGCGAGGTAAAAAGTGGTATTTCCAAGTCCACCAACCTCTCCTAGTTTGCTGGCGTCTTGCTTACTTACTGCTGGTTTCTGCTAAGACTTTCGGTAAACCTGATGCAGACGGTCCCAATTGGGTTGCAGACAGTACTTTTCCGCAGCGGCTTACCAGGCAATCTCGACCCGCTGGCTTTTTCAGCGCCAAAGACCGATGTCCAATAGCCATCGGCATGCATTGCCGGACTTCTCCGATCACGCCTGTGAATCAACCTTTTCGTCTTTTGTGGTTATAACCAGCAAAGTCTATGTAAGCGGGTGACAAAAAGTGGCCTAGCTATCTCAGTTGCCCTACCAAAATTGGGAAACAAGCAACCTGGAATGAAAACACGACAGCAGTCCTGTGAAAACGACAACAAGAGACCAACTTCCAGCAGTAGTTCTAATTGATCAAATAATTACATTCAGCTCACTCATTCTTAACTCTGAAACCGCGTTTCCCATAGAATCCTACCTCTTAAGTGGGATAAAACAAAAAGGGCTATTGAAATCTGGATTGAAATAAGATACGGGACTCGCAACTTTGTCTCTGTTATTGGACGATATACAAACTCGGGGCTTGCTAAACCCTGAAATGACGAATCCAAAGAAACCAGTAAAATTGCGTCATGTCAACAGACTGAGGCATATTCAACTGCCCTATAAAAGTACGCCCTCCGCAGCGATTAGGATAAAAGTAATCGTAATGCCTCTGAATAAAAAACGTAAATTGGACTGCTTCTTCAAAAAAGATTTAGCCCTTTAGATTTCGAGAACTTTTGTGGGAATGACCTAAATTACTACGCCATGTCTATCACATTAAATAGATCGTGCTACTTCAATAACGCTCTTGTTCACTGCCATGAAATGGAAAACACCGACTGGTGGAATAACCGTAACTTAAATAACGCCTATGCACTGTAAACATGATCTTCAATCGACCGATCTATCACCCGCATTTGACTGCATCTCTTCTGCGTATGAGGGATTGGAGTCTGAATACATCGAATACGCTCACAGAATGCAAATTTCACACTTGGAAAGGCATGAAACGTCTATTTTGTAGTCTTGTATAAACCAGATCGTTTGCCGAGCAGCTGTGTAAAATATCGCAAAAATATCTTCACATTGGGCCTTTTATTCTTAAATGGACTCCAGTGGGAGAAAAAATGCCGTAATCGCATGATAAAGTACTTACTTCTTAAATATGTATGAGAAGCTAAACTAGTCGCTCGGACTGTCAAGTAAACCGTTTTCCTGACTGGGCAGGCAGTAGGCTACTTTCTGATAGAAGCAAACAGGCAAGTTCCAAGAAGCAATGCAAAAGGAGATATGATCACTGGAACAAGGAGTTTATTGGCCTGGCTTTTGAGATTCTCAATTGAACCCGGTATTTCGTCTCTTGACTTCTGTGACTGTGTCCAGCAGCTATGCGTACGTCAAAACCAGTGATAACATTGATAAGGAAGAAGACATGTCGAGCACCGGATCAATTGATTTATTGTCGTGAGCTTTCGAACTCTTACAGGAGTTCATCTTCAGAGATAAGAAGCAGCAACCAAGAGGAGGGTAATTGTAGTGGCCAAAGGTCAATCAACTGTCAGCGGTCGTCAAGGGGAAAGAAACATCAATCAAAAGGATGGAGGTCGGGGAGGGGCAATTATTGCCCCCCAGTGATGACAACTATCAAGGTGGTACGATACTATTAAGCAAAAAAGTAACAGATAAAATGTACAAACCTCAACAATGGATACTCCAAGTCAAGAGCGAAGGGAGTCGGTCAAGGGGGCGTGGCTCTGCTTTTATATGATTTCAGGAGGCACTTCCTGTGGCCTCCCATTGGTCTGAAAACACCAGCGCCAAAAGGGGTGAGGGCGGACGTGAACAGAGGCAATACTGTGCCGGCAAGGGGGGGGGGAATTGCA